GACTCATAATGACCCTGTATAGGGTTTCCAAGGCTGTAAATCTTTTTGGGAGCAGAAAGTCTCATCTTTCTCCTGCAGAACAGTTACCTTAAGGTTAGCTGCCAACTTGTAACCACTACGCTAACCAGAACTCCTTAGTAATGTATCTAGTACATAGCAAATCTTTAATAAATATGTGTTGAATCAGCAAGCATCTTCTATGAGCAGGCAGTATGCTCTAGGTACATTTTGTTTATATGTGTATTTAGTACTTACCACTGTAGATATTGGAGTCCTGGCATGATTCTGTGGGTTGATGCGTTGGACTACAAAGTCAGTTTGAACCACTAGCTGCTCTTTGGAAACTCTATACAGGGTCACTATGGGTTGGAACTTATTTGACAGCACTTAACAACAACAAAAACTATAGATATTATTATTATCATTCCAACAACAATAAAAAATCTGACAGATGAAATCACTTCTTTGCAGTTATGTAGCCAGTGAGAGATAGACACACATCTGTTTGTCAGACCCCACAGATCATGCTTTTCCACCATGCTACCATGGTCATCTTTGAAAAAGTAAAGCATAAGACCCAATAGGTACCTTCATGAGTTCCAAATTATCAATGTGGTATAGGCCCTGCCTCAACCTGATTAGATTTAGAGAAGCATGGTGTGGGCAAAATTGACAGTGTAATGGATTCCTGTTGTGGCGCTGTGGGTTAATACGTTAGACTGCAAAGTCAGTTTGAACCGCAAGGTCAGTGTTCAAGCTCATCAGCCACTCCTCAGAAACCCTATACAAGGTTGCTATGAGTCAGAACTGACTCAATGATACTTAACAACAACAACAGGCTTGGTAGGCAAATAAAACCACTCAAACATGGGGGAATTTGAAAGCAGAATTGTTCAGGCTTCACGCAACTTCTGTCTAAGCACCCAAAAGGTTTCAATTCCAGTTTTCAGATTGGTATTGCAATAGCAAGGCTTTAGGGAAGGAGTTCATTTAGGATAACACAACTTCAGAATCTAGATTCTAGTTAAGCTGGGGCTGGAAGTTGGAACTGGAAAGCAAGCATTTACAATTCAATTAAACAAGTTATTTGAAAAGCTACTTTCCTTTCTAGAGCTCATGGTTTGTTCAGTGCTTTCAGAGTCTTTCTATTCTAAATCCAAATCATCAGAATCAGGAACTTTTAGAAATGCAGAATCTCAAGCCCTACACTGGACCCTTTGAATCAGATGCATTTTAGCAAGTTTTCTAGATGATTCATATGTTGGAGAAGCATTGCTCTAAAGATAGCAAAGGTTCTTTCTGGCTGTAATATTTTATATTTAGGTTAGGACCTTCCATGGCAACCAAAAATGCTAGAATGTTCCTTAATTAGAGTTAAATAGAGACCTCCCTTTTCAATATAAATAATCACTTTGATTATGTATTTGGAAGAATATTGTTAATTCAACAATATTACTTTTAAGGGTCATTATTTACTGAGCAAATACTATGTATCAGAGTATACTGCATACAATATTTCAAATCATGGTAATAGCCCTACAAGAGAGATATTATCCTCAATTTACCATGAGGAAATAATCTTATAGGTTAAGAAATTTTCCCAAACTCACATGGTTAAGTCAGCAACAGAACTAGAATTTTAACCCGGTGTGTTTAGAGACAATGGTTTCTTTGCTATACTATTCTGCCTTAAATTGTAAATTTATGAATTAAAGTATCAATGGTAGGACTTCTATCTCAGATTTGACCAGCTCATTTTGGGCTCATTATTCTGCAATTATGAAGACCAAAATGGTATTTATCTATACTGAAGTCTAAAAATATAATACTTAGGAACAGATAAGAACTGAGATTAGAATACCTTTGAATTTCAAACTTCTAGAGACTGACATCCAGTCAGAACCAGTATCACCCAGAAGTTATAATTTGTGAAGCTCATTTAAATCAAGATATTCCATAAGCTGAAACACAAATGGGTTTGAAAAACGGTTAGTCATATTCAGAGATTGTGGGTTGAGAAACTTGGGAGCCAATACTCTGGTTTCTCAAAAACCACCCTCTGTGCCATTGGTAAAAAGGATACTGGATTGGAAGAACCACACATTTGTCCATTTATGGCTAATGTTGTAGTCCTGATACCATTTAATGGCTTACAATAACCTCATATATTTACAGTGCTATGAACATGAGTGACATCTCCCAGAGCTTGTCTTCCCATTCAGAGCCTTTCCTTCATTTGTATGTAAAAACACTCTCCCAAGAGCACATATGTTGCTGTTGTTGTTTAGTGCCTTCAAATTGGTTCTGACTCATAATGACCCTGTATAGGGTTTCCGAGGAGCAGATGGTAGATTTGAACTGCTGACCTTGCAGATCAAACAAACCTTGTGTTCTAGTGCATTATCCCATAGTGCCACACAAGGACTCCAAGCGCATATATAAATCTGTGCTTTCCAGAAAATACATTTATAAGTGTTCTTATATATACAGTCCATTTATAAGAGCACATATAAATGGACTGTATTCTCTGGAAAGCACAGATTTCCACTTAACAACAAATTATCCTTCCCAACAAAATGACTAAATAGAGTCTTAATAAATCAATTTAACAATGGCTTGTTCTGTTTTTGGCTACTATAATTATGACCTACACTGAGATTCTGCATCTGTGGTTTAGTAAAAACTTTGAGCTGGAAGGAACTGAGAAAGATCTAACTCTGCCTCCAGGCAAGAAAAGTATTGTTAGTCCTACTTTGTAGCTGCACTAAATGGCCAGCCCAAGGTCACATTATTAGGAAAAGATTGATTGAAGACAAGGGCAGAGGATCCTCGGTCATTTATTTTTACTGCCAACAGAATCCAAGGTTTTGTCCCATGGCTGAACATAAGATATACTTTCAGCAATACCTCTTTCTAGCTTTTGTTCCCCCTTCTTCAACCACATCCCCAGCCCTGCCTTCTCCATGAGTTCCTTGCCCCTACACTTAGTTGTGGTACATTTTTATTTATCACTGAAAAGTGTTATTAACAAATTCTTAGAACAGTTTGACATCCACACCCCCTTTCTATATTATATAAAAAACCAAACTCACTGAATCAACTCCAACTCATGATGACTCAAAGTATAACATTCCTATAGAGTTTTCTTCTCAAAATTTTATAGAATCAATTCATGAATTCATGAAGCCCTTCTTCTGTGGCACTGCTGAGTTCTAACTGACAACCTTTAGGTTAGTTGTTGTTGTTGTTTGTTGTTGTTGTCAGGTGCCATCGAGTTGGAACCGACTCATAGCGACCCCATGCACAGCAGAACTAAACAATGCCCGATCCTGGGCCAACCTCACTACTGCTGCCACACTTGAGTCCATTAATGATGCCACCTGGCTGATCCATCTCGTTGGGGGTCTTGTTGTTAAGTGCCATCAAGGTGGTTCCAACACATAATGACCCTGTACAGGGTTTCTGAGGAGTGACTGGTGAGCTTGAACTACTGACTTTGCAATTCAAAATGACTTTGCAGTCCAGTGCATTAACCCACAGCACCACACCAAGACTCTTTAGGTTTGTAGTCAAGACCAAACTCTTTGAACCACCCAAGTACCTTTCCTATATTATAAAACCAAAGAAAACCCACTGCTATAGAATTGATTCCTACTCATAGTGACCCTATATAGCACCATACCAAGACTCCTATATTACATATCCTCTTTATTCTTCACACCTCCACCTGTAATTGCTTATTGCTTGTGGACATGAACAAGGAATTCAGAGGTTAAATTGCTCAACCTCATCTTTTGACCACCTTGGTAGAGTGTCCTATAAATTCCCATGTAAACTGCAAATCCTGGAGAAAGTCACCCTACTTTCTTTTCCAAAACTAACCATCTGGGAAAATGACAAAGCACACAATTAGCAAGGAGACTCAATGGGGAGAGGCCTTAGGATGATAGAGATAATAAAAGTAAAATATCCAGTTTATGAAGGACTAAATGGGGCAGTAACTTGAGAAGTATTTCAGGAGAGCCCTGGACTGTGAAAAGAGATGACATAGAGGACACATTGTTGTTGTTAAATGCCTTTGAATTGGTTCCGACCCATAGCAATCCTGCATAGGGTTTCCAAGGAATGGCTGATAAGCTTGAACCACCAACCTTAGGGTTTAAACCAACTTTGAAGTTCAGCACATTAACCCACAGTGCCACACCAGGACTCTAGAGGACACATGGTATCCCACACTTCCTAAAAGCCTTTTCCTTACTGCTTAACCAGATTTTAGAGTTTAGAACTGTGACTTAACAAAAGCTGTCACTGCTCTGGGAGCTCTCCTCTTCCAAGATACCTCCAGGACTCAAGTCATGCTGACTCATCTCACCTAGGGTAAATCTCATACCATAAAATTGCCCATGGACATTTAAATTAATTGCTAAGTTTCAGTCAGTTTTGAAATTTCCAAATTGAAAGGGAAGTGCCTGAGATCTACTTATGCAAGACAACTGCAGTATGGTATGGGGTGCTGGAAGCCAATGTCACTTGCTTTCTTGGGAATGTCTTGTTTGGACTCACTGTTCCAAAATGGTAAGGTTCGACCTCAAAGATCATGTAAGCTTTTGGCATGAGACAAGATGAAAGGAGATCCCCAAACATTCTTCTGTTTTGTGCTTAGTCACAAATATTCTTTAAACCTGATATTGCACAGCTTATGTTACCCCCTACTTGCCTCCTTTAGTCATCATTTTGGGTTTCAGTGGACAAAATGCTTTGTATCCCTAGATTCTGTCACAGAAATCCTTGCCCATAAACAATTTAAAGTGGGGAAATTGAAGGAGAATTTGGAAGCAGAATCTACCCAGTAGTACCTGCTGATCCTGAATACCTGTGATGGAACCAAAGTTTGGCATTAACACAAATGCGGGGAAGAATTTTAGCGTGTTATAGGAGGATAGAAGAAGATGACAAAGAGTAGGAATGAGGGCAGTTAGAATAAGAAAAAGGTTACTTACACAGTTTCATCATTCTTGAATTCCAACTCCCCATATGTGTCTTCAAAGTCCTCACCACCACCCTTGGCTGTCCCTTCTATTGTCCGAAAAGGGACGATGACTGTGCCCCGGGCACCTGATGTCCGCAGAACCTTGACCTCCACGACACCAATACTTTCACTGACATGAATAGTATCACATTCAAAAGTGAAGATGCCTGCATGGTCATCATCCAAGATGGTGACTGTGGCCACACAAGGGGATACTAGGACAGCCCAAGGCAAGGGTAGACTGTTGAGTATTGCTGGAGGTACATCCTCCTTTGGCTGTTCATTCTCCATGCGGACATTGCTCAACCTCACAAAGAAATGTTCATCCTCCTCAAAAATGTCATCATCAATGATACCCACAGAGAACTCTTTCTGGGTCTCCCCTGGCTTCAGAACAATAGTGCCTTCTGTGAACTCATAGTCAGCCCCTGCATTAGCAGATCCATCCTCTGTTTTGTAATCTACATACATGGTCTTGGTTGTATCTCCACCTTTCCTCACCACAGTCAGGAGTACAGCTCCACAGTTCTCCAGACACTGGTAAGAACATGGATCAAAGAAAACCTTGGAGACAAAGTCTTCGGTCTCATCAGTATGTACCTCGTTCATGCTGGAGGTCTTCTTAGCTTGTTCAGCTGCATGTTTCTTTAGGATGTTACCTGCACCAGTCATCATACGGGTGGCTTGGATCCGGTAGAAGGCGCGGCTCTTCTGTTGGTGGGAAAGGGCATAGTAATTAGCCATCTCCACCAGCTGATCTAGGTCCTTCTCTGGGTGTTTTTGCTTCAGATCTTTGAGAATCCGGATCATCTCCCTGCGAGACTCATCAACTTCCTTCCCTTCCAGGGGAACCAGGTTTCCATCTAGAAAGTGAGAATTCATCATCTTTCCATCCATCTCAATTCCTTTGGGGTGGTCACCCTCTGTTTCTAAGATAATTCCTCGGTGTTTATCTGTGCGGTATTTTTTATGCATGTATTTATAGAAGAGCAGTCGCCTATCTGCGACCCAAGCCAGAAGGACACACACTGGGAAGAAGAAGAGAGTGAGGAGGCCTTCCCAAACCTGGACCACACCAGGAGAGAAGACTGCCAGGATCATATAGAGCCAAATATAGGCAAAGATGCTCCAAGCAGCAGTGACAAAGAAGACACGTAGGTGCTTAATCTTTCGAGTCTCTCCATCAGGGATCACGTAGACACAAATGCCAATGATGATGAACATATTGAAGGCTGCACTGCCTACAATGGTGGAAGGTCCAAGATCACCAGCAATGAACCCATGACCACACACCTCAATTAAAGAGAGGAGGATCTCAGGAGCAGAAGAACCCAGTGCCATAAGGGTTAGGTTGGAGACAGTTTCATTCCAGACCCGAATCGTTGTAGTGCTGGTCTCTCCATTGGGCTTTTTAATAGTCACCTCCCTTTCTTGAGAGGTAATGACTTCAATAGATGCCATGAAGCGATCAGCAATGATGGATACTCCAAGGAACATGTATATCAAGGCCACAAAATAGACGATGACCCTGGCAATCTTGTCCCCAAGGGAAGGGTTCTCCGGGTACCAGATTGGTAAGATGACACCTTCCTTACAGTCTGAAGACCCTGAACAGGACTCATTGTTCTGTTCTGTGCTGGGCACATCCCCGGAGCCACCAGCCTCTGCCTGAAGACCATTCAGGAAAAGCATGAAAGTAACCAGCCCAAAATGGAGGAAGGCAGAGGAAAGAGGCTGCAACCGTAACCACGCCATACACGAGACTTAGCTACTGGCTTCACGGCAGCACCAATGGTCCTCTTGAAAGGCCAGGGACCTAGAAAAGACCAGAGAGGCAGTAAAAGACATGAGGCAGGGGGGCAGCAAATGGCAGATTCCCACCAATACAAACTGATGCAACACCTTAAGTGACATATTGCACTAACATACTGGGTAGTCTCTTACTTGGAAAAATAGAAGTCAGTGGAAGGCACAAACAGCTTCTCTGTCCTCAGAACCATCTGGTAGAAACTGAGTTGAAGAATGGCTTTGGGAAAATTGGTAACGGAAATACCCTTTTAGCCCTGTCTTCAGATTCCACTTAACTTGAGATTCCTCAAGAATCAAGTTAAAATTGTCTCTGAGTATGACCTGAAATTTTGTTTCCACTTATGTAGTTTCTAGGGTTTCAGCCTTCCTTACACCTCTGCCATCATATTCAAGAAGACTGCATAACATAGATGTTTAGAATATATACTTAATTGAATTGTATCATGGGCTACTCCCTAAAGCAGAACATACTGCTTTGTGTATAATTGAACATGCTGGAAAAAACCCTTTCCCACACCTTAAACTTCTGGCTGAGTGGCAAGCTACAATTCTGAGATGGCTTGGGAAATTGAGTTGATTCCATAGTGAATCTACCTGCACTACACCTAAACTTACTTACTGAGGCTCAGTAAGATGTGCCCAATACCCAGTACATAGCAGCCCTCAAACATCATGTAGAAAATGTTTATGAAACAATTTAGGCAGCCATTTGCAGAAGGAAGGACTCAGTGAAGAAATCACTAATAATAAAACATGCAAGTAGCTTTACAAATCAGGTTTTTTTTGCTTTTAACTGTAGACAAGATTATGGGATGAAATGTGGCCTCATTTGCTGATCTCAAACCATACAAAGGTAAGCTTGAGTACAAAAGAAAGGTAAGCATTTCAACTGAAGATATAGGTTCATCATTAGACAAAGTGAAGAAGAATATAGATAGCCTTGCAATAGCTAAAGAAATGCAACTTGCTTATTTTCCTCCTCTGATTCATCCATGTGGGGATACTTCTAGTAATAGAGATACCCTGATTTGTATGTGTACAGTATCTTAAAGGATTTGCTCCTTCATCTTGCTCCTTCTTTTCCACTATTGCCAACTCAGAAAACACTATCTCCATCCAACTAATTACTCGTGTTAGAAAATGAGTGGTAATCTGCAAGCTTCCCTCTCCCTATTATACATTACTCAATCCAGCACTAAATTCTACAAACTCCATTTCTACCACCATCACAACAGTCTAAGCCACAATTATTCCTCACTTGATGAGTCTATTGCAATAACCTCCTAACTGAACTCATCACTTCAACTGTTACCACCCTCTACTCTACTTTCCTCAGACAGTCACCAAAATAAAATAACACACCCATTGCTGTTGAGTCAGTTCCAAATCTTGACAACCACATGTGTTAGACTAGAACTGTTCCATTGTGTTATTTTGGCTATAATCTTTACAGAAGCAGACCACCAGGCCTCTCATAATGGGTGGGTTTGAACCACCAAGCTTTAGGTTAGTAGTCTAATACAGACTCAGTCATATATTTTTTTAAACCAAACCTAAATGTGAGAAGTCCTTGTGTCATAGTGGGTTATATGTTGGGCTACTAACAACAAGGCCAGAAATTTGAATCCACCAGACACTTTGTGGGAGAAAGAAAGGCTTTCTGATCCCAAAAGATTTTCCTACTTGAAGCCCACCAGCAGTTTCCCCTTGCTCATATTAGAAAGACCAGATTTCTTGTCATGAGCTACCGTGTTCATTTTTGGTCATTCTCCTTCCTACTACACTTCCACAGCATTAGTTTCTATTTGAGCTCCTGGTTTACACCAAGTTATTTTCTGCCTCAGGATCTTTGCACATGGCATTATCCGTATCTGAAATGGGTGTTTCTTCTTTGAATCCTCACTCTTATATCTCAGTTTAAGATCTCAGTTTAAGTGTCACTGTCTGAAAAAACTTTCCTTCACCCCTAAAAATGATTCAACTTCCTTCATTATGTCCTTTTATCACAATTTTTACTTTTCCTACATGGCATTTGTGAAATTACATATTTACTTATGGGATGATATGGCTAATATTTAGTTCATGCATTAAACTATGAATGACATAAGAACAAATACTGTGTCTACTTTGTTAACCATTGTATTCTAAGTAGTTCATAGAAAGTGTTCAGTAATTGTATGTTTGTTTGTTTTTTTTAAGTTTTTATTGCAAATTGGGTGATAGTTTACATGGAAGAATATCAGGTTTACACTCATCCTATTGCATTTCATTTCATTGCAATGACTACAATCCCCCAATCTCCTCCATGCATCATCATTCAACAGCAGCATTTGCTTCCATTCCCTGTTTTGTTTTGTTTTTTGTTTTTTCAATCTATGCTGAAACACTCAGGACTAAAAACCATTCAAACAACCAAAAGGCAGACCCCACAAGCCCGCCTCCTGGGCATTAGCACAGAGCCCCTATCCCTCTCTGAGTCCAGAGTCCCCAGCCACTCCATCTCTACACATCATCATCTCTGCCTCCATCTCTGGTGTCAATGCTTCTCTGGATAGGCTCCCGCACTCTGTTCTTCTCCCTTGATAGTCCCAGGATCCTCTGCTCCTGGACTGCAAGATCAACCACTCCCCTCCTTTTGTTACAAAACTTCTACCTTTACATTTCCAACACTCACAATCCATCCTAATAGCAATTATTCACTACTGAACCACAAGAGTGGTTCATCCATCTCCTTTCACCAGCTCCTTCCAGACAGGCTCGAAACCACTCAGTAGAGATTTTACCTTCCCCTGCACCCTCTCAAACTAGGCTCCCTCTTGAAAGCTTATAAGCCAGTCACTTCGTGCCTTTGTAGCTCCCCATTTTTGGTAGCCAGTGTCTAAGTTGCCCATCCCTGTCAACCCTGTGTACCGAGGGGGTGGGAATGATCCTCGCTATAAAGATTTGTTCCCTCTTTTGAGCTACTAAATCCATAAGTATAGGTCAAGTTCATCAAATTGTAGTGGATTACTCTTTTTTCTTCTTCCTTCTTCCTCTCTTCGAGTTCTGATAATCCAGCCATAGAAGCCAGGTCAAATGGGTGCTATCAGCAAGTATGGGTATTCTTGTGCATCTCCCCTCACTTCATATCTTGAAAGAACAAGCAGACCAGTCTGGAGCTGCTATAAGAACAGAAGAAACTTCTTGAAAGAAAGACCAGCAGGAAAAATAAAAAACAACAACGGCAGTCCAATTGACTACTACAAGTACAAGCAAGTTGTTCACCGGGGAGCCATCAAGGCAAGCCATCAAGGTCAGGTCCCTTCAAGGCAAATCACCTTCCAAGACTGAGACTCAAGGGGAATACACGAGCAGGCATGTAGTCTTGCTGGTGACCATGTTGGTCTATTGATAAGGGGACGTAGGGGAAAAACAGCAATGAAGTTGTAAGCTAAGTCTGACCACGGCCAACAGACTCCTGTCCACCTGGATTAAGACCTGGTTGGTCAGCAGTTTGGCAAGACCTGGGGACTCCTGGACCCAGGCACATGGCCACAGAGGACTAGAGCAGAGAGTGAAGTGTCCAGCTGATATGAAGTGAGGGGAGATGCACAAGAACACCCATACTTGCAGATAGCATGCAATTGCATACTTTTTGAATAAATAAATGTAACCACCAAGGAAGCTTCATCAGAAGCCAATCTCTTAAAGTCATTTTATGAGCAGAATTATACTCATTTATTTTGAAAAAATATACAGCTCACACACACATATATTGACTTGATTTTAGACGCTATGTTAAAAAAAAGCTCTTTGCCACTGAGTTGAATCTGACTCATTGTAACCTTATAGGTTACAAGGAAGAATTGTGCTCCATAGAGTTCCTTGGTTATAACCTTTATAAAATCAGATTTCCAGGCTTTTCTTTCACTGGGTGAGTTTGAGCCACCATCCTTTAAATTAGTTGTTGTTGTTAAGTGCTGTCAAGTAAGTTACCACTCATAGCAACACTGTATAGGGTTTCCCATGCTATACATCTCTGCAGGAGCAGAAAGTCTCATCTTTCTCCCACAGAGCAGCTGATGGACTTGAACTTTTGACGTGTGATTCACAGCCCAGTGCTTATCCTACAGAGCCACTGCATTCCTCTTTAGGTTAGTAGTTGAGTGCAAACTATTTGCATGACTTGTTGTTGTAGTTTAGTGCTGTCATAGTGACCCTACATAGGATTTCTGAGGAACACCTGGTTAGTTTGAACCACCGACCTTTCAGATCAAACCGAACTTGATGTCAAATGCTTATCCTACAGTGCCACACCAGGAGTCCACATAGAGGACCCTTTTATGAGGTCAGGGATGATTCAGTGATGGAATTATCACCTTCGATACAGAGACCAGGGTTCAATTCTAGGCCAATGCATCTAATGTGTAGCCACTACCTGTCTGTCAGTGAAGGGTTGCATGTTGCTGAACAGTTTTCAACAGAGTTTCCAGACTAAGATGGACTAGGAAGAAAATCCTAATTATCTACTTCTGAAAATCAGCCAGTAAAAAACCCCTCTGTATTGCAACAGTCTGATCCATAACCAATCATGGATGGCACAGGACCTGGCAGAATTGGATTCCATTGTATATGGGGTTGTCACAAGCTGGGTGTTGAGTAGATGGCAACTAAATATACAATAGCAGGACCCCTTTAAATTCCCAAGGATTATACCCAGAGAGAAATTTCCTTTAGGACAAAATATGCCAGGATGCATACTGTAGCCATAAAGGCCATCCTCCAAAAGGACCCTGTGGATTAACTTGGTTTCATATTTTCCAGAATGGGAACAAGTGCTGAGACCCACATTCCCCACTAGTCAAGGTACTGAGTGAGGTCACCACAACAGGTGCTTGGGACTTCTGGCTATGCCCTCCCTCATAGAAAGAGAGGATATAAGGATGACATTGAATAATAGGATGATTGGAGATGTCAAGAATCTGTTTTCACAGGTTCAGAATGCTCTCATAACCTGTGATGTGCACA